TGACAATGCTCAGGAATCGTTTGCATTATTGGAAGCCTAGGGCTGAGGCAACTTTTCCTTACTCTTTAGAGCCTGAACTCGAAGACCCCACAGCTCCGTGTAGCCTATTGCTTTCTCGGGGTTGCGCCCTACTCGCAAACACACCAGAGTGTAGAGAAAAGAAGGTAAGTGGTTAGTTTATAAGAACTGGTATGATATTCTTTATGCACACTTCTTAAGATGATTTGTACTTAAGCATATTAGTGAATACCTCGAAATACAACAATAGCCTATGCAAATTTATCGTCCAAATCCAAGGACGAAAAAAGGCAGCACAATGGCAGAAAATTACCTTACTTTAAATAAGATGTTAGGGATGTAGGGCTGTTTACTAAGTTACTAATCACATCTCAATTCTTCCATTTGTAAATATCAATGGGCATATTAAATTCTCTTGCACAGCATCTGCAAATGATAGTCCTAATTAACACAGAAAAGAGCGATTTGATTGATGAGTTGAAGGGAGTAACACTTAGGAAATCTCACGATTGATGCAGGCTTCCCGTTCCCCTAGGGCTCGCGGCTTTGACCGTTTCCGTTCCAGTTGTAGCCGCATCAAGTGGAGTTTCTATAAGTTTAAATGTACCCATTAGGAATCAAGTGCACTGGGGTTGAAAAGTTCTACTAAATAAGTCTCAGTGTTGGAACGACCTTAGAGAACTAATACTTTAACCGATTCAATGGTAATATCGCTTATTGAAACACCTACAAGTGAAATTATTCCGATTTTAGTACACTACTCTTTTTATTCAGTGAGATCTTCGTGCGTCTGATCAAGTATCTGCTGACTGCGTATACAATGTAATTCAGTGGTCTATTTCGACTAATCAAATTAGATTAAAAATTATCAAAAGTAAACACTTCTGAAAGAGAAATTGAGTAATTTACAAATTTATTTCAACTGTGTAAGGTGTAATCCAATATGTCTTTTCGGCAAATGAACGCTCAAGTGTAATAGGCGTAACCACGTTCCTCAAGATGTCTCAAAGCGGGAAAGAATGCAGGCTAGAAGTTAACATGAATTGAGAGTTGGGTATGTGAGACCACTCTTACACCACTACAATACGACAAGATGAATATGTTAAAAAAATTTTAGTCTTTTCTTTGGAAATAGGCCCGACACTATTGGTTCTTCATTTCTAGCAATAACCGCATTTCCAATGTCAACAAGACCAATATGCGCAGAAAACCTTCAAAACTTTATCGAATTTTACAATTTCGTATGGGATTCAGTCAACAAACATTGAAAACTTGAAGTAAACGCATTTCAACTGCAATTTACCGACCACAACGATGTCACTTTTATTGAAATAACAGAGTAAACTTATATTCTGTCCATCTAAATATCAAAATATTTACATCTTCTTGTATTCTTTCCTTGACAAATTCTGTGAGACACTGCCCTGTGCCCCGTTCCATATTACAGTGAAGCAAACGTCTACCGGTTTGAATCGCACCCACAGTCCCAATTTTTGAGTAATGCACTTCCAAGTGGGCCCTCAATTCTTGCTAGAAAAGAAAACAACGTCAAGAGTTGAATTTGTCCTTAAATATCCCCGATTTTAGTCATGGAGTTTTACTATTCTCTTTTGGGGCTTCCTCTCTTCACTAGAATTTTTCTCCTCTTTGGACCCCCGTGCCACCTCCAATCTCCACCCCGTTTCTCGATACTTGGGCCCATGACATACATCCACTCGAGCTCTTTGCTGCTGCCGATCCGACGAAGGCGCTGATTGGAGACGTGTTTTGGCCACTGAATTGCGCTCGCAAGGCAGCCTTGCTGAAAGAGCCTCTGCCTAACGGTGTGAAAACATGCTACGTTAAAACACTAGGTAGAAAACTAATACAAATGACAACTGGAGTAGTAACACCTGTCGTAATCTGTGCACTCTCAACGCTCTATTACTTGTTGCCTCCAACTGACGAAATTTAGCAAACCACTCCTCATGAGCGATTGCCTCTGACTGTGAAGTTAAACAGAGAGCTGATGCAACCTCTTGCACAAATTTGTCCTTAAAATCATCAGGAAGTATCCACTCGGTAAATGAATCCAAACTATTTGAGTGCTTATAGGTGTACCGACGACGAATTTTAAGAAAAGCACGATGATTGAAGTCGTGTCATCCTCCCGTAAAACCATCATTTTTCGCCAGGTAGTTCTGAATAAAATGTCAAATCGTTGATTAGGAAGACTTAACAAGTGCAAGCTACCTGGAAGTCGAAAACCTCTGGTAGATTACTTTCATCCTTAGTTAGGTTAAACTCTTGTGAGCGTATGGGCCCAGCCGGAGGACGCATCTGGTGAGAAGAATAGTGTTTCCAAAACTCAATCCTTTCTGCAAAAATTGTGCAATCCTGCCATAGACTTAATTCCATTTTTATCAACTCCTGCATTCTAGAAACACAAAAAAAACCAATTTGAGCACTCGAGTGCCATTAAGGTAAGTAAGGACTTAACGATAAACAGGAAAAATGGAATAATTATCCTACTGCAACCAAATAAGACTCAAGCCGACAAAGAGACCTCGGGAAAAATAAAAGTTCCGTAGATTGTTTTATGGAATAAAAACTATGCGATCCATAAAGTAAAGCATATTAGAGCTACCAATAAAAATCCATGAAACGGCCACTTAACGGCATCTAAAAAGTAAATTACTAAGAATTGTTTTAACTCCTCAGCGCCAAATTACACATTTTTAAAAAAAATTATTATAGGCTCCACATTCGAATTAGAAAACACTGGGATTACTCCGACCTGTGATTCAAAACTTTAAACAAAAAACATAACGTCTATCACTAATAAGACAAAACAACACTTATTGATTCCACAAATAAATAGAACCGATTAATTATGCACTTATTTACAATCACTAAGATCTTAGGATCTTAGATTCTTAGATTTGTTAAAGATCTCATATGCACGACTTGTGAGGCATCCTATATCATATAAGATGGCCGTATACAGCTTCCTGTTTTGTCCTTAGAGTAAAAGAGAATATTTGACTCAGTTTTAGGAAGAAAAACTTACCTTTCCTGTTCGTAGTTAAAATAATCGGATAAAGCTTGTTCAACATCATTTAGGACTTTCTTTATGCACCTAAAATCTAATGATACAGGTTTACATCAACTAAATTACTAGATTTCTGCTTAATGATTGTAGACTGAACATCTGTGACTCTCATTTTGAGTTCAGTTAGTTTATAAAATAGGTTGCGACCTACAAGGGTGTTGTAAGAGACTTTCAAAATACCATCTTCTATAAACTTGCTACGCAGGTTAAAGTAGAAAATTTCAATATCCTTTCTATCATTTTTGAGATCGAACTTCTTAAACACGTTCTTAGGAACCAGCTCCCTATGCAAACGCTTGGCACTGCGTTAATAAACAAACCTTGTATTGACTAACCTTCGATCCAACACTTTTGTTTCGACCAAAGCAGGCGGGTTTCTTGTTAAAATGCTATCCATTTTGAGTAGTAATAAATAGACACTGACACCAATTTCATGGTCTCCACCAATACGGACTTTCCGCGTCCTTTTCAAAAAACGCTCCAGTTTCATGAACTCAAACAGCAAAATTAATCCAGCCCCAACAATTTTAAATGCTTGCCTAAAAAGGCCTTTGAATGGAAATCGCAAAGTAGTAGGACCTTTAGGTCACTTTTATATTTTCATAAGCATTGCTAAAGTGTTAATAATTTTGACAATTTTGACATATGACTCGTTGAAAATCTTAACGACCTACAATTTTAACAGGTTTCTTCACATATGCTTTTGTTTATAAAAAGGTAATAGGGAACTTTGTGAAATTCTTAGAGTCTAAATATTTTGGCTTCTTTAATTTACTATCAATTTTAAGGGAGGCCAATTTGCAAGCTCATAATTCCACAATTTTCATCTTGAAAAGTGTCCCAGCATTTATCTGCGTCCTACTTTTTACCCTGACCTATACCGGATTACGCGAGCATGTTATGTAATATGATGATTGTTTATCCCTCTGTATTGGCGAGGAGCCACTTATGACTTGGCCTTTGTACAACGCCGGGTGGGCTGGCTTTCGGGCCATGCCAGTAGCCCAAGTGCCTTCTCTGTGCTGAATACATATGTTTTGCCCGAGTATTGTGTCTTTTTTCGTCTTCAGGGAAGTCTCGGGGCGCTGCAATTAGGTTTTGCCAAATTCACTTCATTTTATTCCGAGTCGGTTACGAATAACGATATGGCATTTTTTGTGTGTTCTTCCTACATAATTTGTAGACAGAGAAATTGAAATGTTCACAAAAATCTCGGCACATAAGCCTTAGTGACATGGATTTCGGTGTATGTTTGTCAGTTCTACGCCTACTTTGTAATTTTAGCAATCTGCATGATCTGATTCCCGGTATTACAGCCGGTCCTCATGAATGTACATCCATGCAAATCAAAGGTCTTATGCAGCTCTTTCGGTTTGTCTGGTGATTTTTCGCAACCATATTCATGCTCAATTTTATCATTGTCTTTGAATTGTCCGCTTGTTTAATATCTGGACACAGCAGCCAAACATGTGCCTGCTTGGGTCTATTCAAGCGGACAGCAGCGACGATGGCGAAATTTAGACTGGGAGGGCACCTTTTCGGCGGAACAAGCACCCAGCCCACTTGGAGCCCGTTCTCCTTGAGTGAGCACGCGGTTCCACTCAAGTTAGTGGAGCGGGTCATGCAGAACGTGTTCTTCACGCTCCTCGTATCACTACCGGACGCAACAATGTGTGACTGAATTTACTAGCTTTTTGAGAAGTGGAAAGATGGCAGCGTAATTTACAAATTTCTATCCATCATGAGGGTATAATAAAATTAGAATTTTTAAGTAATTGATGAAGAGGAAATGAACGAGATTGTGCGTGAACCTAGTTTTCAGTAATATGATGTTTAATTATGTTTCTTCATTCAACAGAATAATGCAATGGGATGGTTAATATTTCAATCTTGTTTCGCCATCTAATGTATCATAACCTCATGCTTTGTCTTAACACCTTTTTATTCTGTTTGTCTGAACTGCTAACCCAAAAATGAATTCGTTGATAAAAACATCTAGATCAACCTCAACAGAGCAAAAAGTGTGTCCTATTGGGAATAAATTCCTTTGTTTTCTAAACGATGAAATCTTATCTTTCCACAACCTTTAGTAATGAATTTGGCCGACGAATGCGTCCACGGTGCACATACATTTGTTGTACCCTTCATGTATTAGCAAAATCGTGGCACTGAATATTATTGTGTCTGGAAATCACCAGTCCTATTAAGCAGTTATTTCCCTTAAGTAGATAGGAAGAGCAAAGTAAAGCCTCAATTTGTATATTTATAAAAAATGATAGGATAGTTGTGTCCTCATTTTTTGAATGTTCTTTGGGTAAATACCGAGACAGCGATTCGGCTGCAAGCATCACAATTACAGAATAGTCTAGCAACAAACAGCGATCTCAAATATGAACGTCTGAGTGGAGCTGGAGTTGCCGATCATTTATGCATCCGAGTCCAGTCGATCGTCAGGCTCTCCTCTCCCAAAGCGTTGGTTATCATTAACTGAATGCAAAATGTTTAGACGCTCTTAGAATCGTTCTTCAAGATTTCTTCTCATAGTAGTTCAAATTCTACGCACAAGTGGAAAAATGCCACATTTTATTATTGTTTTAACTTTAGCTAGGTAAAATCAAATCAAATGCCATCCTCTATATGAATTTTGTAGCCCTCTGTCCCCTTAGTAGTATGCTTAGTAAACCTGTTAGAATCCTTGAAATCGGGATTTTGGACTCCTTTGATTTTATAAGGCAATACATTCGCGAAAAAGAAAGTGGGAAAAATTACTATGCATATCACTAATTTACACGCATACGCAATAGCATTCACCAAAATAATTCAAAATGGATATTTAAATACTGCTGTGTGGCTTTCGCATTTCTTCTTTTCCCTGAAAAGACAATGCGCCACGTCAAATCACCTCAACTAGAGGTCATACCTTGAGAACTGGTGTCCCATTGGCTGGTGCTGATGGTGTAGCTGGCACCGGGCCGAAGAGGGGAGAGGGTGGTGACGCTGCTAGCCACTGGATCAGCGCGTTCACCCCTCCGCGTTTCGGGACGCATTGGGCTGAGGCCAATGTCACCCTGCTCTTCGGAGAGAATCGAGAAAACACTCACAGGGCCATCATCATCGTCATCTTTAATGGTGAAATGAGCACTTTGTAATCAAATGCATCTATTCAAGCACACTTAGCCATATTGTGTTGCCATCAAGGCTAAGGAGGAAAGTGTTCGCTCGAATAAGAAGATAGGGTCGCGTGCAAAATTTCATCATCTAGAAAATTCAAAGTCCAAAACACATTTAGGTGAACTAATTGAATTTCGCTGACAAAAAATTAGTCCAACTGGGACATTTTTTACAATTGTACAGAACTTCGATGACTCAAGGGAACACTCATTTGTATTTTTTGATTGAATCAAACTGAAATAGAACTTTCGCCCGTACCTGTTCATGTTGACCCTACGTGATGGCATAAACCTTTCGATTGGCGGATGTTAGTAAATGCCTAATGATGAGAGGTTTTCAGTGAGTAAACCTATTACTGTATATATTTGTCTTAGCACTGCGACATTCGTTCTGCACGTAAGATAAGGACCATGCTATTGAGGACTCTTATCATAGTTTCTAAATCTGTTCATAATGCTAATCAGCACTTTAGTAAGCCTGAGATGCCATTTGCAGTAAAATCGAACTTCCATGGCTCTCCATATCTGCTTACGGCCCTACATTTAAACCAGTTCATCACATTTTCATTCTTCAACTTCTACTAAATGGTCCCAGCATAATATAGTATCAAGAAACGAATCCTGCACACTTTGAATGGGGAAGCACGACTTGATATCAAGCCTAGTTGACGAGAGGCTTTGAGTTGCCATAGATCTATGTTCGGTCATTTTTGAAGTTGTACCATTAGGCAATATCCTTAAAACTTGTGGATCATCTTTAAAGTGGCATTTCCTTTGGAATAATGAAGGATAGCGCCTATTAAGGATAAGTATATTTTCCAAAGCATGATGGACGTAATATGTCATTGTCACGCTGATCAACGGTGTCATGAAAGTTAAGGCATAGATCAACACCGGACTGACAATTTTGGGCACATTTTTGACTACACAATGGGCCACACTGTGATGACCTCACACAAAATTATATGCACCTTTTCAACTTCCAACTATTAAATAATAATGTCCAAGAATGCTTTGGGGTGTTGGACCTAGACTGTCATTCAAGTATTAAAGATTAGGACTAAAAGATGCATAACAAATACTATTAAATGCTGGGTTAGTTCACCGAACCAATTCAATAACGCCGTTAAGGGTAAATTTGAGGCAAAAAAATGTTGGCAAGCTTCCGACCCAACTACCCAATACAGAAGACTTACCTTCATCTGGATTGTTATTTTTTCTAGGCTCGTTTTCGTCAGAAAATTTGACAGAATGACCGGGTGATTGATTTTTACTTTGGAATCGGTCATCCACCTCCTCGTTCATCGATTGGTGGAACTTTTTTGCGGTCCTAAAATACGGATGGATAGAGCCCGCCGCAGTGAATTTTTCCGATTTAAATGTCCACATACCACCATAAGGATCAACAGTGTGAACACTGACACAGACTGCAGAATAAAAACGAAATGCTATTGTATCACATAGTTGTGCAAAGAATATACAAAATAAAACAATTAATCTAGCATATATGAGCATAAACTTACCGCCCAGCTAAACGGGCATTTCACTTAAAATAATTGAAATAACATTTAACCGTTTGTTATTCGTAGACTATAACTAGTCAAGCCAGTTGTACTACTAACAATATTGTGATCCAAAGTGTCAATATTGCGCGATCCTTCCAAGTTAAGATTTGATTTATTTAAAATAAATTGAATATGACTTACATAAGAAAAATTGCAGAAAAAATGGTAACGAAATGAAAAACTTGCAAGAGGAAAGTTGGAAGCGACATGAAAGAATCCAGAAGTCCAAAAATCGAACAGAAAGTATATATGCATCGAGAAAAAAATGAGATTTTGAACGGCAACAGTTTTGACATACTGATGTTTAACCCCATCCTCGTTCGAGTTATCCCATTTACTGGTCGTCCCCATTTTTGGTGCATTTAGTGTATGTGACTTGATTATGCCTCTCAGAGCCTTCTTCTCTTTGCTGAATGGAGAAGTCATCGAGTATTAACAGCGCTTTTCTGTGAAAATTACTTGAATATAAGTAAACACCTGTACAGTATACTGGTATGTCTAAACGGAAGTAAATATAGAGTTTCCTATTTTTCCAACTATCAAACAGCATAATCCTTTCCCATTTATCTCGCTTGTGAGGTCTACCCCAGTTCATTAAGTCTTTTTATTCAGTAACATAAAATCTATCCTATAGTAAAGGTCCTATCTCTGCCGTACATAAGGTTTAAGAGGTAATACCAACTTGTTGGTTGCAGAATAAATAACAAACTAGCAAGCAACAGAGGGACCTGAGAGTTGGAGGCAATGTTAACATCTCTTACGTCTCATCACTATCTTCAGACTTGGATCTCAGATCAACCTCCTGAATACGAACGGTTTTAGATGCGAGTTTGGTGGAGTCATTCGAGACTACCATCTTCGGTGGCAGTGGAGTGGTGCTGGTGGTGGGAGTGTTCACATTAGAGGTGGCCACGTCTACACAGGCTGTGAGACCCACAACTGGGGGTCTTAAAGTGAACCACATTTTACCAAATAAAATAGAAGACGATCATTAAAACTGTACTTAAAGCAGGTTTTTGTTGATGGTATTTAGTGTTCCGTGTAGTTTGTGATAGACAGGTGGAATAAAAATGCCCAACACGACAGTTAGGTTTAAAACTCATGCAAAAGGATGGTATTCAGGATTTCAGAGCCTGTAATACCAAGTTAGTAATAATTTTCTGACTTTTCGACTATGGAGTATTTTAATCACCAGCTTTCCACTTTGTATATTCAGTGCACAAATATTATTGACAGACTTTGGTACAAAAATAACTTATAAAAACACTAATAACCTTCTTGGCGCACCCAGAATATACATGGTTTGAATACCAAAAGTCAAATTCCTAATCAAGCAAGAATTGGCGTACGAAGAATTCCCACCCTGCGGCATTGTACCTGTACTCTTTGTGTGGTTAGGGTCAAACCTAGGTCCTTTGGATGAATATTATTTTAACTCGAATATGACAACAACCCGTGTGCATTCAACATCCTACATTTTACATGGAATTATGTAAATTACATGTCCGTGATTTACACAATACCAGCCCCAGAAACGGTTGGACAAGATGTGAGAATTGTGACAATAATACCTTTACGTCACATTCAAAGCCGTCTCAAAACGACGGCGTCACAAATATGGAGCACCATATGCACCAGAATCGGAGAGAAGCGCAACAGCGCCCATGCATCCTTGTTCACCCCTCAATATCATACGAAAAATTATCGTGGATTTTCGTGCTGCAAGAATCCAAGTTTCAGTTGTTATAACCATGACTTAGAGAGCTCTTCAATTAATATGGTGCGTGGAATACAGACTGGAGTAGAAATTACCTGTAAACTGCGGTTCGCCCTTCCACCTTTACCACCCTCCCATCACCATCGTCTCCCTCGTCCTCGGTGTTCTCGAAGAGTGACTGCTTGGACTGCGTTGGGTTGGTCTTCCGCAGAGCAGGACTGGCGGTGGCGAAGCGTCGATACTCCACGATCGGTGAGAGGGTGTGGGTGAGCGAAGTGAGGGAAGCCGGTCGCCCGCTCGGTGGTCGGCTTAGCGCATCGCGATCTGCTATGCGCGAGGCTCGAGGCTTCTTTTGCAATCCTTCTCCGTCTACATCTCCGTCGCCTCCACCGAAACCGTTGCTTCCTCCTCTAAGGGCAGAATCGTGACGTCCGCGCTTAGAATGAAGGGCTATCAGCGCCATTCGATCCACTTTTCGTGCTATCGACTTAAATGGATCGTAAAATACACCATCCTTAATGGCTCTTATGCAACTCCAAACTTCAATTCCACTTTTAATGGTATAATTAAAACAGTACATATTTTTAATGGAATTATAGGAGTTTTAGAAGTACTAGCTAACTCGCTGAAAAACAACCCCTAAATAATTGTTGGTAAAACAATACGGAACTCAGTAATTAGGTAGAGCGTTTAATAACCGTTGCTTATTAGTTAAAAGCAGACGAAATTACACTATAAATCTTCTAATGGGAAGGAATTTTCACTAAATCAAACCGTTAACTTTAATTTCAGTTCTTGCATTCACTCCCGAGTGCCTTCATTACTCACTGAGTTTTGTCAGTAATTTGCTAACTATATACTTTCGCACCTCAGAAAATCTTGCATTCATTAATGTGGTTAAACAGCGCAAATAGGTGCATTGTTCGCCACGGGATGATAAAAAGATATGCAGTTTTTGCAAAATCGTGCACCAATAACTCACGGCACGAATTTCCGCGAAATTTGGGTGTTTTCTTGTTAAATGCTGTCTCTCCTGACCGAGGGTGTCTAGCGTTTCAGTAAACTTGCCTCTCGTCAGTCCGACGGCATCACCGTCCACATCATGGTCGATCAACTGTTCGACCAGGAGGGATTCCACTTCTTTGCGCAGGCGCTTCATTGCATCTGGATCAGAACGAAACTCCTCCAATTGGTCTTTGTAATGTGAAATACCCTCCAGTGGATCTACCCTGAGCTCCGAACCTAACGGTACATATTTTAATCGAGCTTCCAAGTTACCGTTTGCCTGCAGAGGGTTGTGCGATTTTTCGGCATTAGGCTGCGTGGTTGGACGGGATTTGCTCACACGCTCTTTTGCGTATTCGGACTTGTTACTACTATCATCAGCTAATTGCACGATCTTGTTGTTTCCAAGTTCAGCCTCATTGTAAGGACGATACCCCTCCCTTTTAGGTGGTGCCTAGATCCAAGAAAACATGGTTTTGTTTTATTTGAAAAGCGTAGTTCTAAAAATACTATGAAAGTAGAGAAAATTTCGAACTGAACGAGAACACAACGGCATTGACCTCATTTAAAACCGTGCGCAGGAAGCTCGGTGTAGAGACCGCAAATGGGATTAGATGAATGCTCCGGGTTCTATCCGATTCACCGTCTTCCTCATCCTCGGTTCTGACAATCAGACTCTCCACTACCACACCTCTGTTTGTGAGCAAGGCCTGCTGCTTCTGTGGGCTGGTGAGAGTGCGAGTGACCAGTCTTGAGGTGACTTCATTTGGCGCCACCTGAATAGAGGCGTTTGCGAGGCTGAGGGACTCCCTATCACTTGTCTGCTGGTGTCTGGATCGCTTTTTGGGTACGTTAGAGATCGCGTGGAGCATGTGGTCCAGACTACCGATTTTATCACTGCAACTGACACCCCGGGAGATCATGGAGCAGCTACTCCTCACTGAGTGGGCTGCGTTGTTTGTGTTTCTCACCACTTTAGTCATCGGCGAATCGGATGAGGATGGTAGTGAGCGGACCTTCTCAGAAGAATGTTTCGGTGGTGATACAGTAACCATTTTGGGCATTGGAGATCTTACCTCCTTCAAGTGCAAATATACTCACAGAGAAAATTTTTTATTAGAAGAAAAATATTTTCTAAAATGTGCCAATCTAGGCAATATTTCTTCCTGCTTTAGCAACGTGGAGTACGTCATTCTGAGTCGGCTGCAACGCGGTCACTCCATGAGTAACATCCGTTCATTTTTTCGGTTACCATAGTAACTGTATAACGCCCAACTTAGAATATTTCATTTGCGTGTTTTCTAGCTTTTTTTGGTCTCCAAGAGGAAATCAGGGCACAAATGGTAGAACCTTAGCCAATGCTCTTCTTTTCTATTAAATGCTCTTGTAATATCCGCTGATCATTTAAATCTTGCAATGGGAAGGCACATAGTTTTGCATATAATAAGTGGTATATCCTACCTCTAGGCTTCTGACTTGGCGTTCTAACTAAAAGAAATACAAGAATAGCATAAGATTGGTCTGGACCACCCTATTACAATAACAGCACGAGTGGGTAAAGACCTGCTCTGGAATGTCGGCCTCTACGTCTTCGAAGTTGGAAACATTAGCTATAACAAAGAAATGCGTAGTTCAGGGCGATGAATTGGGTGGAAATTTTCATAGCCTTTCATCTAAGTGCCCTTACCTTTTTTGATTCGCAGTTGGATTAATTCCCTTTGCGTTTCCAAATTTTCCTCTCTCAGATTTCGTAGCTCCACTTCAAACATCTCTTTAACCCTTTCAACATCAGTCTGGAAGGCGGAAAAAATAAGGTATATCATCGAAATTTTCGAATAATGGGGCATTAAGTGAGAAATTAATTTAAGCGTAAGCATTGATCTATCAAGGAAGAATTGAAAAAACGAAACTCGTGCTCGTGTTCTAGCGAAGCTATGATCGTACTTTCAAGAAAAGCTAAACAATTTCCTTCACAAAAACCTTACAAAATATTACTTAATAAGTAACAGATTAAAACATAAGCCATTGCCTTAGTGAAAATAACCACTAAGAAACTTTTAGCGTCAGGAAATAACAACGTAGTCAAAAATGCTTAGTCATAAATGACCACCTTTCTATCTTTTGAAGCCTACCTTTGGACCCCACCATCCAAGGTGTGCATAACCAAACTACTTTTTAACATACTCTAGAAATTTGTCTTTAAATCAAAACAAGTTTTAAAAGAAATTCCACTTTAAGTGCAAAATTTTTTCGTTCGTCAACTGAGCTTCAAAGTCCCACTTATTATACGGTATAGCTTCACTGGTGACACAAGAAATAAATTAGAGAAAGGTGAGATCGAACTGGCTTAATTCACACGAGGCGTTAATAGATACATTGGGACGGCAGTTCTCAGAACCAAAGAGTCTAGCAACATTTCTGGTACATTCATGTTATTTTTAACAAACAGTGGCAAGCATAAAATTTTCATGGGGAAATAGAGGATAAAATTTAGTCCTAATGACTGCCAAAAAACTCCACCGTACAAATTGCAATGTGGAAATGTGAACGGTGCGCATCCAATGCATGAATGGACTTAAACCTAAGTAAATGCAATAGTTAGGCCACTTTAATAATGTTTATGAAGCTTGGAGAGCTAGGGGCTCTTCACATCAATCACAGTAGAAACAATCTCGAGAAGGCGAGAGGAAACGCACCCTATACTGCGAGGCAACAGATTCCTGCCAGGCACGGTTGCGCTCCTCCAGTTGGCGCAGATGATCACGCTCCTCTTCAAGCTGGCGCTCCAGCTCGGCGGCACGTTGCCGCCAAGCGGCCTCCACTGCCGCGGATGCGCGGGGGCTCGCTGCACCCTTTGCCTCAATCGTCTGCACCACTGCAGAGGTCAGTGGTAGTGGTGGTGGTGGCGGTGGTGGAATCTGCGACTTGAGGTGGTCCAACACCTCCTGGATTTGCTGCTCCAAGTTGGGCGCCTGTGAAGACAATTAAAAAAACTCAACGCCTCGAATCAAATTTAAAACATACTTGGGACAAATCTTAAGCGGTCCATTATAAAATAGTGATAAGCTCAACCATAAACAAGAAATGAAAACACCCTTCTACATTATAAATTCCGTTTAAAACGATGAAAAGGAGGCAGTTTTTCATTCTACAGTTTGTAAAATACACAGCTAAAGCGAGGAGATAACGAACAAATGTTTCAACGAATAAAAACAAAATTCTATTGATAAACCGGAACACACCAGAACAGGTGGTTTTCCATTGGTGCCCTTTTCAACAATGAAACTAGTTCCACTATCCAACGGGAGGAGGCTGGCATGATTAAGGTCAATGTCCTGCAGAGCCGAGATTACCTCAGAGTGGCGGCGAAAGAGGTGTGCATTGAGGAAAGAGGCGTTGATGAAGGCTTTGGTGCAGTGAGGACACCGATGGTAGGACTGCGGCCCGCTGTTCATCAGGCGCTGTTGGGCAAGAAGGAGCAGGCGACGACGATGACACTCCTTTCGTGTACTTGTTAAACGTTGTGCTTGTTGCTCCAAGCGCTTCTTTAGGGCATCAGTTTCCTATTGGAATTAAATAATTATGAAGAGCCTTTGCATTCAACGCACAGGATATTTCGCTAAATTTTCGCTAAAAATAAAACAACAAAGCTTGCCTAAAATATATTCAAATACTGATGCCAGCAACAATACGATTGAGTTTGGTGAACAAACTCGGGAAGGTGGTCCATTTGGCAAGTAAAAGTAAGACGGAATCAAAGTGGTACAAAGTTTTGTAGCCACTTAGTGTTAATGGAGAGTCTGGAAAGTGAGTACAAAAGCCAAATAAAAAATTCCTTTAATCGAATCCATCCTAGGCTGCAGCTCTTTAATGAAACGCAAGAATGTAGGTAGCAAGAACTCTCATTTATCATACGGCAATAAAAAGCATTTAACGATTAGGGACGATTTACTTGAAATGAGTGTATATTCCTAAAACTAAAGTGACAACACACCTTCTTAATTGTTTCATTCTCCAGCCTCAAGCTGTCAACAGTGTTCGTGAGGTAATCTTGAGAATACTAAAAGGCAAATGCATAATTTAAATGAAAGCATCTTAAAGAGCGATATATTTTAGCATACATACCAGAAGGTACTCTATAAGAAGCTGAGCCAGTTGAAAAAGTTTGATAAAATTAGTATCCACATAACGCGTATCCTATAAAAATAAGTGATTATAATTAAATACGCTCACTATTTCTGAGTTAATGTCACAGAAGGCGACACTGACAAGGTTATCTTGCAAAGCGTCAATATCCATCTGACTAGCCACGCGGCAAACGTCTACCGAGGCTAAATTAAATAGTAAGCATGTAAGAAAGAAAAATTACCTAGGCGTTTCCAATCAATGCGTTCAACTCTTTTCCTGAAAAAGAATCCGGGCATTTTGCTGGCGCGAAAAGGCACTTGGCCAGGTAAATTTGGGTTGAAGGCCATCATTTATTCGGAGGTCTATTAAGCAAATATGTTTATTAAAAATCCTCCCACACGTTATTCAAAAAGCCACTATCTGCTGCAGATGTGGAGAGAAACTGAAAAATTAAGAATAAGAGCGCATTTAGCAAACGCATTATTGACCAAAACAAAGTCGCCCAAGTAAAAAACTGTTCTATAACAACACTAAAAAAGCACTATCCGTTGTCCCTTATACGCAAATTATGAAAACTAAACATGCAAATTCGTCCTCGCACTTTTTGATATAAATCTAAAATATTTGAAAATAGTCAAAAATTAGGCTATTCTATAAATGTGTTTAAACTAAAAAAACCGTTATGCGTCTTTAATCACCCATGCATTTAGGGTAAAAAATCATATACCCAAAGGAAAAAAATAAAAAAGAAGAGTAAAACCTTGCTACACAAAAAACACTTCCAACATAAAAAGCATCAAAAGTACAAAAGCGCGACAAAAGCAATGGCATACAAAAGCCCCAAAGCATAATTAATTTTGGAGGACAAAACACCAGATTCCTGGCATGGAGCGAAGAAATTCATGGTCAACTGAACCTATTAACGTGCGCTTGTTAGAGCAGCAACTAGACGAAGCATAAGCAATTTATTAATTTACAAACTCAGTGTACACGACACTCGAGTCACAAGGTGAACATCACCACTGCGATTAATCTAAAAGGGAGATTCGAAGTACGCACTTTACCTCCAAGCGTCTAATCTGTGTACTTAACAAGCAATCGATAACTTAAAACGAAAAGATGCTAAATGCCAAAAAGTTTTTAAGATGTATTTTTAAATAAATTAAAAAAATTTGCTAGGCAAAATTTTTTAAAAGCGCAGTAAATTAGTTTGGGTTGAATTTCAGAACCATGATCCTGTTGTGTTTTTTGTTATATGGTTAATGTTCCCGAAAGTATATTAAAAAGGTATTTCCTCTTAGATGTAGCATTCAGTTACCTGATCAAGTTAAACTGACGAAATTATCTCAATTTGCCCTCTGTGCGCATTATGTTTAACGCACTCAATTACCTTTAATGTTGACTAAAAGATTTCTGCTTTAAACCCAAATAACATATATTCAGCACGGCCCTCGTCTTTCTTCCTTTTTTGTTCCGGCCCTAGTACTCTTAGAAAAAAAGAAAATGGTTTGATAGGGACATATTTATTGGCTAGTGTCATTGGGTTGGATACAAGTTTAGGGAGATCTGGACAGTAAGATGTAGCGTCCCGAGACTCCCTGAAGACGAAAGAAGACACAATACTCGGGCAGAATAGGTATATTCAGCGCAGAGAAGGTGTTTGGGCTATTGGCATGGCCTAAAAAGCCAGCCCACCCGGCAAGGCACAAGAGGGCTAATTCAAAGTCCAAAAGTCGCGCCTCACCAATATTGAGAGATAAACCACTATCGTATTAAGATGCCTTCGTGCTGATATCAAACATGTGAAAACGCAGTACCTTTTGCCACTTCTCAACTAGCTGGATGAAATGTAGACATCTCTGTCTGAATACTCTGATGTAAGACAGTGACAAGGATCAGCGAAGTTGAAATTTTATCCTCGCGAGATTATGCTTGATCCTACTCTATGTTACACATGACTCTGCTTTTAGTCTAGTGTTCCTTCGACTGGAGACGGACACTCGTTATGGCTAGCACAATTCCTTATCACTGAATCCACTTTCCATACAGGACGACCCAATAGAATTGCTAAGACGAATCGATGACATTGCGGTCAAGTATCTCGTCAGTTACGTGGAATTGCAAAGACATGCATGGTTGGTTCATCCGTGTTTTTCTCATATCACTGATTAAGTTGTAATGACTGACCATGGAGCTTGGCCATAGGAATTGCCGCATTGTTTTTTTACGGATTCTGCCATTGTACTTCTGCTAGGCTGCCTGGACTCCAGGCCACGCCAGTTGCCCCAATCCCTTTCGTATGCCAACAATACATATTGTGCAGGAGTACTGTGACTATACAATTTAAATGTATTTGCCTGCAACCAAATTATGTGCTAAGCGTTTGCAGATTAGGAGAAGTCTCGGGTGTTTGGTATAGACTAACACAACTGCTAATGCCTGTCTGGTTTTAAAATCTGACTTCTAAGTAAGAAAGAAATCGTGTTTTAAATTACTGTGCTATTTTCTAAAAGTTGAGCTAGTATTACTCTTAAAAAGGTAAGTACTTGACATCTAAATAAAGTTCAGTATCTCCTTATGGCTGTTCGTCACACTAGCACACTCACGGTGCTTATACTGGTGCTTCTTCTATATTGTAATAACCTTTAATTTAGGGTTTTCTTTTATATTATCCCTAAGATAAAAATAAGTGACGAATTAGACGAAAAATTTTAATGAATACAGTTTAATTGTCACCGTCAAGTTAGGTGAGTTTTTATATATCACACTAGTTGCATTACGACGGGACTACTAATTAATGTCTAAGATTGCATGCGCGCATAGACTCTGAGAAAAAGAAAAAAAATAGCATGACTACAAAGTAGTTAGATTCTAGTAGGGCATCTACAAATCCGTGCATTCCGTACTTTTCAAACACTTAAACCCTGACATCTGTACCCCATTATTTATTACTACTTGATAAAGTAGGTTCTCATTCAAATGGTCTGCTCGTACTAGGTGTAGAAAGCAAAAAATTAAAGAGAACAAACACTGGGCTTGTTATGGACACGCCTCGGCTCTGCGATATGGCATTTGGGCCTTGCCAGTAGCCTCCCAGTCAGTCCGCGTATTAGCAGTATCGGTTCTACTACACTACTTTGGCCTATTATAACCTCAACAAATACTAGAAATGCTGCACTGGGAATTAGGAAGACCATAATGGCAACCATAACCGTAATAGGCTGGTTATTTAACTCCCGGTTTTGGCAAAGGTGCACTTTGCGCCCTGGCCATTACAACTTCTCTGGTTGGGCTAAGCTCTGGGTCATGCCATTATCCTCAAGCCCTTCTATATGTTAAATGAATGCATTTTTCCTATGTATTGTGCCTTCTTTTATCTTCAGGAAAGTCTGAGACAGCTACATTTCTAGCAGTCAAATTGAAAATAGCAGCTTCGTGTATCGGAACTGGGTGATTCCCGCTGAATTGCAATTTAAAACCAAAAAGGATTTAGGATACTAGGCAGTGTGTTATTGCATTCATTTAAAATATTTTATATGTTGCTACGAATTTATTCCTTGGATAGGAACGGCAGTATGTTATTTGCTCATGCATCATAAAATTACCTGACTTTCACCTTAACTTTACGTTTTTAATATAAACTTTTTTGCCTGCACTATCAGTATTCATTTGATTCCAAAGTAAATTTGCCTACGAATTCTTGTAGATTTTAAATTGTTTAGTTCTATCGTGTTTGCAGCGGATTTGTCAAAATGATCCGTTTGCTGTCTCGCTGCCGCTCTTTCTTTGGGCTTAGGTGTTCTGTACGCAGTGCCTTTACTGCCGATCCATTAACAGAATCCAAAGGGCAGTTTTACTACGTGATTCCTGAAATACCCTGCGACAATTCACAGGACAATCCACTGTTGCAATGTGCGACTCTACCTAGGTTGACTCAATACCCTTTATAATTTTTAGGATTGATGGTATCAAGGCAGAGCAGATATTTACAGGGATATCGAAGCAGATAATTGAATATCAAATTGCTTTGTCTCAGCTCGCCGAGGACATTAAATCAAATAGTATTCCGATCACATATGAGAGCATAGTGTCAAAGATAGACGAAATTATTTTTCCTGTCCAAAATTCTCTTCAACTTGTTGAGAGCCTCGGTGTTACTAACAATGATCCCGCATGGCGTCTTATCACCAGCCGTTTAACTTCCAAGCTTCTACGCGCCCAGAGTGAGCACCTGTATAGCAATGCTGAAATTTATGGTGCCCTACATAAGGTTCTTCTTGAGTTGCGTCCGCAGGATAACCTCAAAAGAGGTACATCTATTACTTCTTAATGGAGATGGTGAATTTCGTAGTGGTATGTCAGAAGATAATCAATTAGTCCACCGGACCGAGTTCCGTCCAGTGGACTAGTTAGTGCACAATAAATATTCAACTCCTTTGGTTATTTTTCTAGTCATTTCAAAAGTGCTCTACTGGATTGCAATCCCACCACTCTGTCATTATTATTTAATTTTGTCTGTAATTTGCATTCCCCAAACAGGAGTAGTTGAGCAACTGCTGGCCGAAGGTTGGTCCAACGGAGCAGCTCTCGCCTCTGCTGCTTCGGGTAAGGTTGAATCATGTAGCTCCTGTGGTATCCCTCACTTTCCACATAAGAACGGGAAGGGAAGCTGCCGAAAATCTCTTAGCCAACTCTTTTACCTTCGCTCCGAGCTGATGAAGGCGGAAAACATGTTTGAACAGATGGTCACCAACAGTGCCTATGTCAGTTCTCCTGAAACTATCAGCCAGGCCTCAATCACTGGTCGCTACGACAATGCTAGACGAATTGGTGCCCAGTTGCCCAGCTACCTTACGAACGTACTTATTCCGAATTCGTCTGGATATATACCTGTTGCGGAGTCCGATCTCTCCTCCTCTGCTCCTTATTGGTTTCCCTATGCACTGGGCGGGAAGCAGGAGGGCGGCTACTTTAAGGACATGCGCGTTAATCTGGGTATCGATAAATCCGCCAATATGTTCCTCTGCCATTGTAGTAATAGAGAGGTAAGACTCGTCAAGTCTCTAATTTTACTTACGTCTTTGTGGTTTCGGATGATCAATCTACCTTAGGTTTCTCTTGCATTTCCGTCCTTAGTGTTTATAATTAGGGCTGTCTTGAACCTCTCGCTTGATTACGTAATCATAAATATACTACCTTTTTTGGATTTTATCGATGTAATTTTCCGCAATGAGGCATTGTTTAATCCAGTTTCATTAACATAACAGTTTGAACGGGTGATCGTATGTTACCACGACTGTAGTCATTATCGTAGAATTTTCTTTGTTAATTATTGCTTTTTATCTACGAACTCCAGCCGCCAGCTCAGTAGTTTACGCTTTGCGTGTTTGCCTAGTATTGACAATCAAGGCGACTCAGTCTAGGCGTCTATTAGCAGCTCAAATGATTTCTGTTGAGTCCAGATCGTGTAAATGTTGACGTTTTTGATTCTCATTTTCCTGTGCACTCAGCTGCGGCGGGTGGTGTGGCAGGCGCTGGTGCAGCGAGCGAGTCAGCGCACCTTCGGTGGCTCCTCGGGTCAGCACGCTTCTAACGATGGTCGAATTGAACAAATGCGGCGTCTACGCGCCCAAGTTGCCTCTACCATGGGTGCACCCGACTGGCTCTCCCTCGTATGGCGCCGCACTGCCGTCAGTGGCCGTGGGCCCTCCAGTCCCGATGACCTTGTCGACAAGGTCCTCGAACCAATTCGCAAAAAACTCCTCCCTCTCGGTAAAATCGAGTGGACCATCCTCAATGAATGGGCTGAGTCTCATCTGCGCATCTCCCGTAAGTTCTTTAATTACAACCCTTCCTTTATTCTATTTCTTTATCTCTGAATTACTATAGGGTTCTAAAACTGATAATCCAAATGTACAGCATTAATGAAAATTTATTAAAAACTACTCGCGATATTCGGATAGGCACTTTTCTCTCGTATATGCAATGACATCCTCAATTATTTCCATGAACACCCTTTGTTAACCTTTTTCGGCAGTTTTTCATCCCAAGCGCTTGCAATTGTACAATAGTGGTTGTGGACCTATTTTTGTTGTAACTGTCGTGTATTCTACTGTCAGATAATATTACGTTTAAATCTTCTGGATGTTTTGACCCACAATTTAACAGTTATTTTTGCTGTGATTACTAGTCTTTCATTTAATTAATGACTTAATGCATTAAATATATTCGTCCACCTTACAAATACATTTGATAATTTGCCCGTTAGCTTTCCCTGATAGGTTAAAAAGCGACAGAAACTATGCCGGTTAATACCTATGTGACGAAGATCCTCAACCCGTTTAATACAGCTAGCCTGGAACATTACGACATCGCGTACGCGATAGAGCAGTACAATTTCACAATGTCGTTGGCGCCGGGATCAAGTCTCTCCATGGACCCTCGGTACAGGCGCGTCCTGCCTTTCGAGGCAAGCATAGACCGCATCTTTGGGCGTCTCGGTGACCTATTTGGCCTCACAGTTGCAAGACTGCCCGTGGGTGTGGGTCACGCGACCCGTCTTGGCATCACCGACAGTTTCTCGTACGAAGTTGTCGACGCCGGTGGGAGGGGCATCAAACTCGGTGAGATCCTAGTTGATCTCAATCCCAAGTAGGTGACTTTGGCTCCTCTCATGCGGCTTTGTTGTTCGTTTATTTAGTGTGTGAGATGTTTCGCTGCCTTTCAATCTGGAAATTTACTTATGCCCACGATTTTGCCACCTTAACGGTCGCTTTTAAACAGTCGACAGCTGTGCTGTTACTATTTCCACTCGAAATGCAGATACTAATGGCTGCTTACTTTCTGAATGCAAATTTGTGCAAGAGAGTTTTTTTAAGGTCATTTAATTGGTTCAATGCCATCGTCATTAGAAAAGTCAGCATGGCTAAGCAGCGAATCAAATTCCGGTATCAGTAGAACAAGAACTTGCAGTTTTCCGCTTTACTCCCACTTCCCATGATCGTGCCCCATTGTGCGTTAGTGTCTTGCGCAAGTTGTATTAAAGCTGCTTTGAAATATTAACTTTCATTCACTTTTCGTAAGCTAGAGCTTTTTTCTTCATCCTACATCACATCGTGTGCATATCACTTTGCGCTCATTGTTGTGGTGTCATTTGTTATCTCTTTGATGTAGGCATCACTTCGGCGCGGCGTCTTTCGGCAGCGTGACGCCTGTGCCTCTAGTGACTCGCTTTCCACTGCCTTCAAAGTCGCCTTCCTCAGTTGCCGCCGAGGTTTCGATTGCCTGCATGTTCGGTAATCTCTCCTCTGACGCTATTCGTATCGGTCTCTCAGAGATAGTACGTACTCGTTTTGTATCCATTGTTACAATCTTAAGTGATAAACGACTCAGTAAGACTGAACCGACTATAAAGTATTTGTCTCAGAAGTACTTTCGACCGTAAAGTGACTGCGTCACTTATTGTGTGCCTACCGTCGCATTTCCATGCGTTCAATACTGCTCATTCGGCCATGAAAACCCAAAACACGCCCTCAATATCCCTCACTATTGAGATGTTAACCCTTGCTCTTGACGTTGGCTTTTCATACTAATTATCTTCCTTGCGGTTGGTCTGTTTGCGAATTATGCATCCGTGTAGGAGGCGCTAGACATTGCGTCGGCATTCGGCAGGTGCCTGCAGCACGTCGTCAGCCGCACACCCTCCTACACCTTCACGGGTCTAACCATGCCCATGCCGGGTGCGAGCTTCGCTGGTTCGACTGGGGGCATTCCTGTTAGGGACAACTCCTTTTTAACCCAGGATCTTATCAAACTCCTTCTTATTCGCTCCGGGCCCATGCGCCAAGCCATCTTCGGAGATGCTCTTGGTGATTCTGGGACTAATCGCGTTGTTGTCAACACCGCGCATGGTCGGTCTGCTTAACCTATCTTCAAGCTCATCTTTAAAAAATTAACCTTTCTTTTGGGTTGAGGCTGTTTTTCGAATCAATTCTAGGACCGCTAAGACCTGTCCCTTTCACTCAACCTGAATCAGTTCTCAGTTCTGCTCAACAGATGCATATTCTGCAAGCGGTGTGATGGTAGTGATGCAACCGCTGTGCCTCGATATTGTTTTTTAGGCATAAGCCGAGTGATGGCACTGCCGTTCCTACGCACTCTATATGAATCGCGATTTGACCTTGAGTTGTGGGCGAAGGGTCGGTCGGCGTGGAAGACGTGGCATGCTCTCTCGGAGTCGTTATGGCTGCAACATATGCCCTACCCATACCACCCTGATGACCAATGGGCTTGTTCTGCTTTGGGTATTTTTGGATCCCGCGGTATTCCTGGCATGCGCTACTTCGAAGTTTGGCGTCAGGTCATCGCTTTTGACTGTCTCTCCGCCTTCATTGAGGCTGGCTTCGATAAACAGTGGGATGCGCAACAGGTTAAATAGACTCTTTTGCTTTATTTTAGCCATTTGTTTACTTTGTAATCACTTTTAATGCTACTGATTGTCCTTATTAGGTTAAGGGCCTGTTCATTCAATACAGAAAAACAGTTCTTGACCCGGGAACGGCGCTCTCTTGCCGCAGCACTTTCCAGGCCTTCAGGGGTCGCGATCCCTTACCAGACGCTCTCCTGAAAACCTTCGATGTCTCACATAAACTGCTTCGGCGATCTGCTTTTTCCTCCAACTCAGTTCCTCCCGAGGCTGTTGCGACGCAATAGATCCAATGCGCCTTGACTTCTTTCTTTACCCGTAGAAGTGCATTTCCACAGCATACGATCCGTCATACCCTTTTATTAAACACGCTTGTGCCTTATCCTTTACTCTTTATGCTTTATTAAATAAATCAATGGGATTATACCACTTCTTTGCACAAAATTGCTCTCATTTTTCTATTTTTGTTGTTTCCCGCTGCTTGTGTGATGGTGCGAAACGTTTTGAGATTATTTTGTCTGAAATTTGCTTTCGCTGTCTTGCTTAACACACGCTGTTCTTAGCTGTCTGTGCAGTAGAACATATCTCTCATAACCAATCGTAAAAATAGGGGGGCTGTCAATTTCTGTTTAAAGGCTGGCCCCATTGGCGTTTATCGGTCTGGAAATGGTGCTCCTGGACTATTTCATCGTTGTTGAATTGGAAATTCTTTGCTTTGCCAACATTTTGCCGCTTTCTGTCGCTATAGAACTCTTGTTTCTAAAGGTGTTACTGAGCTTTCAGTAGCAATCGAAGATATTGGTCGTGGTGAAGCGTCACTATTCCAATGGCTTGCGCTGTAGTCCCTCTTTTTGTTGTGTCTCAGTGCTCGGTGCGAATTGACTGGCGCGATGCTACCCTCCCCGCGGTGTTTGGGCTTAGCGCTGGAGTGGTCCTGTCACGGAGTGCCATGGTTCATCTTCTCTGGGGGGTGGATCCTTGGCCTGCTCATCAGTAGCATGGCCCCACCTCCCTCTGCGAGCCCTGCTTCCGATCCCTACGTGGCGCCGCGAAGCACGCGCAACCTATACGGCTGGCGTGCCGCCTGTCTCCTCTTCGCCCTCGTTCTTGACGTTCTCGTTGTTGGTTGTCTCAAATTCATCGTCAAGCGACCCCGTCCCGAGGCCAACTACTCCTCCGATATGCTACTCACCGTCTCCATTGACGATTGGTCTTTCCCCTCCGGTGAGTTTTGAGAGGAATCGCCCAATTCTCTGTCGTCATAAACTTAGCCTGAAGTGATCTTACCTCTGTCACCAGGAGTGGTGTTAATTCACTGGCTTTAAAATTGCTTAAACTGTGCCCCTGGATATGTTTTTTACGATGCACCAAAGTACCAAATTTCTTCCTCCGGATATATCGACTCGAGATTCCTTTTATTTAAAGTACTTTTTTATAAATCCGCCAATCCGACTTAATTTTACTGTTTTCCCTCGGTTTTTCATCTTCCTCCCGCCTACACTTGTTAGTACGTCCTCTCGCACTATCTCTGTGCTCTTTGGTGGATAAGCTTATGTATCATCTGTCATCGCAGCCCAAGATAAAAGTTCTTCCGCTTACCTGTTGTGTCACTTGGTATATTCTGCAAGTTTCCTAAATTATTTCCCTGAAGTGACTCCACTTTCCAGGGGTGTAATCGGAACCACTTTTTTATCCATGCTACTGACTTCTAAATCAGTCCGATTCCATTAATTCTTATTGTTTGTTGCAAACTAGGTAGGTTCCATTCTTACCGTCTAGTTGGATTCCAAAAGTGACCTCAATACCATAAAACTGTTCCACTTGCATTAGTTTCGACTCGTCAATACTATTTTAAACACCAACCTGAACCGTAATTTTACAGTTTACTTGTATCAACTTGATATGCACCGCCTCTCTGGCCCTTGAGTAAATAGATCGGACGAGGTTTACGTAAGCCGACACATTCTATAAATTGGCATAACATTTGCTTCAATTGACTCCCTAATGCATTTACCCAATTGCAAGGAGGTTGTGCAAGCTCGCGTACTATAATATGACACTACTGCCTCATAGTATTCTTTTTACTCTGCTTTTTTGCCAAATTCCCTTTGTATCACGTTCGCTGTGAATTGAGCACAATGAATTTTGGTGAGGAATCATTGGTGTTAAATTTATTTCCTTTATGTCAGATTGTTCGGTAGTACTTTAAATACTCTCGCTTGCATCCACTACTCCCAGCTATGGAACTTCTTTTTTTATGACTATGCAAGCGAAAAAATGTTCATATTCCTTTGCGAATAGCATGATTTTAATGTACTGTGAGTTTGAAGTCTAAAATACTGGATAGTGTATCACAATCATTAACGCTTGCCTCGTGTGAAACAAATGGGAGGTAATGGGTGACCTGTGCATATGCACGTGGCAGGTCACTCGAGCCGAGCGGGAATGTTGCAGTGGTTGTTGCCGTGGCTTTTCAACTTCTCGGGTTTTTCGCGGCTCCTCATCTCCGTGTGGACAGTCTCGGTGTGCATCTCGCGCCTTGTCATGCGGCGCCACCACCTGGGGGACATCCTCTTCGGCTACACCTTGGGCTTCTGCCTCTACTACCTAGTCACATGGTGTATCGACTGGCCCTACTGGTTCCGCTTTCTTGGCTGAGGTCTTGGCTGCACTACTCCCCTCTCCTCCTCTCGTGTGCTTTCAACGTCACCACCGCCTCCGCCGCCACCTCATCGGTGCTGCCCCACATGCGCTCCCCCTCCTCCCTTTGCTTGATGCATTGTGTTGGTACTCCTACCCCTCCTTTTACAACCCGCTTGGTGCGAAACCCGTCAACTTGTATGTCTCATTAAAGTGAGGCTCACGGTTGGTAGAGCAGCCTCTCTTTACTTCCATCCATTGGCATCTGGAAAACAGTGTACCTTTACTCGCAAGACTGCTGCGCTGTGATTAACCGAGTAGTTTCTATCTACCTCCTAACTATTAGGTGTATTACGCTCGTACCCTCCGCATTCCCCTGAAAATAATTTGACAACCTGGATAAACCTGTCAAAGGATACATTTTTGTAGTACAGCACGCAATACCTTGTGAAACGCTATGACCTATTCGTGTAAGCAGTGGCTTGACCGCTTGGCACAGAGGTATAATGGTAAGCTTTTCACTCTTGTTGCATAAGCTTCTCCTGAGCCGAAGATATTGATTTACCGCTTCTCAGTGTATGTTGTGCCAACAGTTCGGTGATGACGACTCCTGCAAGTGTCTGAATGGTCTATTTTCCGCTAATTCTTTTGAAACGCCTATCTCTAAGACTTGGACAACGGAAAGCTGCAAATCAGCTGCTGCTTACGCCCCGCGTCCATTTCTCGTTAAGGTGATGACTAACACAGCTACAAGGAAGGACGATTCGTTAGACTACACGCTGCTCAAGCACCATCTGCACAAATGGTGTTGGTTTGAAATCTTCTCGGCTAGTATTCAGGGACATTAAATTAAGTAAGCTGACTCAATAATCAATCCCTCAGCACGATCCCGCTTAAGCGATTGTGTGGCCAGTTCCCGATGCGATTGCCTCCCTTTCAGGGACATTTTATTAAAATTTTCCAAAAAAATATGGACAAGGGGGATGTTTAGAGGAGTTTTGGGAAGAGTTTCTCGGTTCTGTGCTCCACAACTTGCTTGCACAGCTGCTCCGCGTCATCGGCTTGCACACCAACCATTGTGGGCAGCCACATCTCGCTCTCTAGCCGTTTCACCTCACGAAGGACGTACCTGCCAGGTTGAAATATTTGAAATAATGTCAAACAGTCCAACCGCGCGAAATCTGCGTGCGGGGCGGTGTGTCGCAAGGTAAAGGGATGAAACAGATGATTAACAGGTCTGGATGCATAGCTTATATCAACGTAATTGGCATCCGTGGGATAGAAAGATACTAGTCCTTTGCTTTCCACACAAAGGATCATTATCGCATGATTTAAGACGCCAAAGCAAGCAAGAGATGTGAATAACCGTGCAGTGGGACGTACTTATCGCCTAGCCTCCACTGCAAGCGCGTATCCCAGATGCGCAATAGGCAGCCGTCCACTCGCAAAAAAAACCGCTGGAGAACAAAGAATCCTGTTGGCATCACACGAATCTTGACGTTTAGGAGTGAGATCCCGTTGTCCCCCAGTTCATCTTCGAAGAGATTTATACTGCCGAAAAGGAGAATGGGGTCGCGAGAACGAATGAATTTCTGGTCGAGACCCTCAAGCGTACTTTGGACGAGCCAGTCGCCTAATTGAAATACCGGCAATAGACAGTGTATAAACTTTTCTGAACGGAATGAAAGAAATTGACAAAGTACAGAACAATAGGCAGAGAATGATCACAGACTAGTGGCTTAAACTCATTTTGAATCTCAATATAGAGTGATAGCTCACAGGAAGCGGTAGGACGCGTTTAGCTGGGATACGGCGGTCTGAGGAACGCAATAATATGCCAGGAATCCTAATTCCAGATTTATCTAAAACTATCCGAGGACTAGCCACATGACAGTAACGGAGGAAGACGTTCCGTACTCACGCAAAGCGAAATTAGGATCAAATGGTGAACAAACGCGCCAACGAGTGACAACATACCGGTTGTGGTACCACTGTAGGTTGTAGAAAATGTCCAATCGAATGGATTTAGGATGGAATATTTGTGGAAGTGCGGTCTACTCCATTGCTTTGCGGCTGGAACCTGAACATGAACTTTAGACTTGTCAACTAATTTCAACGCGTCGATGGCGAGGAATTCAATCTTCGCCTCCCTCTCATCTTCTAAAGTGACGCAAGCATGAGTCAAATGAAGGTTTTACGCCTGAGAGAGAGGGATAGAGAATTTTTGGAAAATAACATTTCAGGAGTGCATGGTAAATCAAGCTTCGATTCGAACAGCTAAAGTATTGATTGGAAGGAAATGACAAGTACCTCCCTTTCATCGCCCGAAGCGTTAAGAATGTGACTCTCTGTGGTTTTAATTAGCCAGGGACCGAGTTGATGATATTGCTCTTTTATGTTGGTCAGGTCCATCTGGAATTCACCTAGAAAATAAAGACAAATTGCACTGATTTGAAGGAACGTAAAGTGTACTACTTTGTAAGTGAGGACTCCACTCTAAATCAACTTTTCATGGGAACAATTATCAGGATTCAATTCGGGGAAAACATGGAAACTGCCGCAAAGCGAATACAGAGGAGCGTGATCTGGTTAAGTTCGAGAAACAAAGTGCGAGAAACTTGTAAGTTGATGGCGTGTCCATTAATTGAAACAAATCCGAAGAAAGATCAAGAGAAAAGGGATGAACACCCAAAACGCACACTAAACTATACCTCAGCAAATTTCAGCCGAAAAACAGGAACTTGACTTCCTGGGCTAAGAGGAACACAACATTTTGGAGGAACCATTGCATATGTTTGTTTGAAAACCTAATTTTGCTACGTCATGGTAGTTCCTTTCTGTATGTCTTAATGGAAGCCCACTAATGGGTGTAATTGGCAAGCTACTTACGATTACTTTTAATCGTAGCTTGTGCTTAAAACCTGTAACGAAGGCAAAGACCACACCCATTTAATCAAGTTTACCGAAGCCGAAAATGGATAATTGATTTACCTCTTGGATTGCAGAAATCTCTCCTGAGCTAAGGAGTAATAGTCAAGCTTATAAAAAGTGCTAAATTTGCTATTGAGAGCTTTGTGCAAGTCAATGGATATTTCGTTAAATTAACGCATGGAATATATGCTTTTGGTGGTAGTCCATGTGCTTCACCAATAGACTATTTATATGTAGTAACAACCCTCTAGAAACCCTATTACCTTTGCGTAAATTATTTTACGGAATCCCGCCTTTTACTACCTGTTCGCATAAATTACCAGACCTTATCTACTCCTTTATAATCTGAGTAATCATGCGTGACCCTTGCGCATTTTTATTCAATTACATAGACCAGATGTAATCCACGCATTATAGCAGATTTTTTAAAGCATTAGCATGTAGAAATTATATCTCTTTGAGGCGTTTTGGATGACCTTGCCTCCCTGACTTTTACTTTTTGATTTGCTTCGGTTTTGAAGCTGTCGCCAGTTTAACGCCTTGCATGTCCTCTAGGATGAGTGTGTTGTCACCCCTTTTTATTCAAAGGCTACATTTTTTTACCGTTCCAAACTTCAAAGCCTTGCGCTTTGTTAATGGGCGATTCCTTTCGGCAGTCGCATCTGACTTTCAACCATCTTCAAATAAAAATGAGGAAAATTCTGAATCTAAGTCCAATAAGGAGTCGGGTTCATGGTCTGGAAAAAACGCATGGAAGTTGGGTGCCTTAAGTATCGCAGCCTCTGCAGCATTTGCAGCTGGTTGTGGAATTGCTGTTTGGGGTACGTTATTTTAGAAATGCTGTACCATTTTTAGGACCACCTGGCAGAGATGAGAATGATGTCGAGGTAATATACGGCGTATTTGATTTCCTTTTAGATAAAGGATGAATTCTCTGATCGTAGGTGTTTGGCTGATTTGCTTTTTTGTTAGTCCCAAGATGGCGTGGGTACGTTTGTCGAGCATGGCAAACAATGTGGGATTTTAATCAGGTTTGATATTTTTCTCACCAATCGCGCTTCTAGAGCATTCGAGACCCCATAAGTGAAAAGCTTCTCCCAGACCCAGTCGAGCCTCCTTATTATCAACCGCCGTATACTATTGTTTTAGAGATAAATGACGTACTGGTGCATCCGGATTGGAAGGTTTTTGATTTTAATGTAATGTCTGCAGTTCAGATCCGGTTGGCGTTTCAAAAAAAGACCTGCTTTGGAACTGTTTTTACAGCAACTTTCTCCTTTTTATGAAGTTGTGGCTTTCACACAAGATTCTGCAATGGTAGAGTTAATAATAATATCTTTAAGCATTTGCTGTTGTTGGTTCACTTTCATGCATTTCTGAAAAATTTCGGAAAATTATATTGTTTGTTGAAACTGCGAAGTAGCAATTATTTGTCAGAAATCTATTTAATGCTATTCTGGTGAGCCTAGATCCATTCTTTTGTTTTTTCACTGTTTCAATGCCGTCTGTGTTTATTGCACCAATAAAAATGCGGTTCCACTCGTCCTTGGCCAGACTGGAATGCCGGTATTGGCGCAAATCGATTCAAAGGGGCAATACATCCACTACCGTCTTTTCCGCGAATCGACCCGCTATCGCAAGGGGAAGCATATAAAAGATCTTTCTTGTTTGAATCGAGATCTCTCTCGGGTAATCTTGGTCGACTGGAATCCTGATGCTGCTTCCATGCAACCACGTAACGCCTTCATCATTAATCGCTGGACTGGGGATGAATCAGATCGAGAGCTCATTGATTTAGTTGCTTTCCTCCGAAGTAAGTCTCTCTTTTATCTTAAATTCCTCATCTGTGGTCTATCATTTCACCTTGTATGAATTCTCTCGTAAGTACTCATTATCCGTACTTTGGCATTTTATTATATTGTTTCTTTACTCATTTTGAATAGTCACTAGTTGCTATATTTCAAGTAAAATTGGGGAAACAAATCAAACTATCACATTAATTACATGGTATGTATCTCATGCTCAAATATCCTCTGGTTCTTGTTCAGTAGTTTTAGGTAGAATCGCGGTAGAACGGTGGGCTTGCATGGTGACTGTATGTGCCGCAAGCAATTTCTTGAAAACCCTGGCTGCTTTTCCTCCGCTGTAGTTTAGATAGGCCGAAGTTTGTACTGTATCACATCAACCTTCCAACGCCTCACTGTTAGCCGGCTCATTTTTTCTCCTGAACAACTTTCATCACGGTTACCTAGTCGCATTGTTTCGCAGAATTGTTTTGCCTTCTTTTCACCGACATGAAGTACTTATCTATTCTGAGGCTCACTTATTATTGCTAAACACGCACATTTTCATGCACTTGGACTTTTTTGTTGAAACTTGCAGTGATCGCCATGAGTGGAGTGAAGGATGTGCGTCCTGTGCTGGACCACTACCGCCAGTTTGACAATCCACTTGCTGCTTTTAAGGAGAAACACGAGCAGCTCATGGTTGGTCGCCATTTCACTATTTATTCTCAGTGTGTAGCTTTCACTGCCCGACAGCACACAGCTGATATTCTGCATTAGTAATCTTGTAAATAAGACGGACATAAATCCCTAAATTGTGCTGGAAGAAGACGTAACTGAACTTCAACAGCGCTCCCTGAGATTTGTGCATTTTAGGAGGCCCAGGCGCGAAAGAAGGAGCAGGAAAGGATGGCTGCAAAGAAGAAGTCGTTTGGCTTCAACTCATTCAGTGGTTTTCGTCGGTGAAACAGATCCCCAGCGCATCTCACTCTCAGCCTGTAAATACTGTAGCACTAATCTGTTCGTTGCCTTGGCTATTTTGTACAATGAAAATGCATAGTCTAACAGTTTTTCCCCTTCCTAAACGTGGTGTGCTACTTAGCCTTTAACAGTAACTAGTCTGTTCTGCTGGTGTTCTTGCCTCACTTCGTCGTAGAGGCCCTGTAAACGTACAAGTGCGAGCTCTACGTTAAGAGGGGTCGTTTCCCTTGTTGAGACTTATCTAACTTTTTTGCGATTATGGTTTATTGCAAACAATCACTGTGGATTCGTAATCGCGGACCTGGAATACTGTAAGGACTTGCGTTGACCGCTGTAAGTGGTGTGATGTCGTGTGGCCGATTCCAGCTCTTATTGGCGTAACTGATGAATATTTGAATTAGTTGGTTCCTGCAGTCAGTGTTTGTATCCTCTTACTGGTGTGGATTGCATCACCAGTCGTGGTTAGCTCTAGTAATTGGAGGTCTTTTTCACCGGCAGGAGTAAATTAGAACCACCATATGAATATGCTGTGCTGGTGATGATGGACCAAAGAGGGGAAGGTGGCATTGCAGACGCGGATCCTTGGTACGACTCACTGATTACGCTCAATCATGCAGAATGGTGCTCCAATTCATGGCAGTAACGAAAAGTAGAAGTGCGTAACGCATTACCATTCGGAAATTTAACTAGACTCTAAATAAACTTAACCTCGAAACTAATGTCGAGCTTATTCATAACTTTGTTCTTTCGGCGAGGGCGTTCGCATTGTCGCCTCGATGTCATTGATTCATTTGCTTCAGTTCCCTTTACTACTGTCAGAGCTCGATTGATTCACAACAGTTCAATGGATGAGGTAATTGCGTAGAGTGCCTTGAAAAATTGAGTTTTCTATGGTAAAATTCCATTTTTACACAAACACTCAGTGCCGACTAGCTCAATTAGAAGTCCGACTTAGCCTCAAGAATATGCTAGTTGACCGTGAAAAACGGTGATTTGTAAAACCTTCAAGATTTTTTTTGGATTAAAGATGCATGCCCAGTGGTTTAGCGATCCTGAAATTGCACCCTGTTCATAAAATGGTTGTAAGGTATGAATTTTGATTGGCTTTCACATCTTTTATTTTGTCGCACACAGCGGGGGCATTTGGCCCTTTTTCAGGTATTGTTAGTGTGTCTGGTTGTTCTATAGTTTTCTAGCGTCCTTTTGTTCGTCTGCATATTAGGCTTCTGCAATCATTTCATTTGTGGTGTGGATCTCTCTACCACGTAAGTGGTATTGACGGTTATGAGCTGCCGAATTAAAAATCAGGCAACCAAATACAAATACCTAATTTAAATGCAGGATTCAGTAATACATTAAGGGCTTTTGGTCAAGAAATTAATTAGGGGCATCCATCCTCGAGCATTTCAAGTTTTCAGGTTTGTGTACAAGCATATTTACAGCATAGTGGATATTTTGTACCTCAAGTGCACTAACCAGAACTCATTCAATGATCTTGAAACGAATAGCTTTCTACTGTAGTCCATATCTAAAAGTAATGTTTTCCTTTGGAAGGGCTAATTGTAATCATAATCATGAGCATTACTATTGGCTTTGAGGGGCAGTACAACATGCCCTTGTGTAGTTCCAATTAAAAATGGGCCCATGAATGCCAGCTCTGATTGGAACAGCGCTGCGTGTCACGAAATCCTTCTGAATGACCTGTCCTACAATAAAGCGACAATCGGACCACGTGGTGTGCATGCAGTTGCAAATAATTTTTCCTTCCATTCCTAAAATCGCAACAACATTTTCCCAAATCCTTACGTTCCGAGCTTGGTAACCATGGCACAGCGTCTTGCCAGGTCCCTAGACTGATATTTTGATCCTTTATCAATGGCATAGAAGATATGGGTTAAAATGAATTGTTTTGAGGCATATAAAGAAGATCTTATCAAATGTATTTAAGTCTTAAGCTACTTCAGCCATCTTATTCTACAGGAAGTGTCCTTCATCATTCGAAGCAGTACATTTGGTGCCACTTATGCACTGAAGCATTGAAAAATTTTTATGTCATTATCTTAACACATCATTTTGCATGCAGGGCAGTGGCAAATATGAAACTCTTGTAAATTGAGAAAATGGAAGTTATGTTGCCGTAAGTTTTTGCGGTTTTTATACTATTTGTGCGAATAATATTGCATTGTCAATTAACTGCGAACACATTGTGGTTGCCTGTCAGGCAAGAATGAAAGGATGTTTTCATGTCAGTAGGCAGCGAGAAATAACCTATGCACACGCAAATTTAACTTCAGAAAATGTTTTATTTTTGCTATACAAGATATTAATTGCGATTTGCTGTTTGTAGCTCTAGTGGATTCACGTGACATTCAACGTTCGAGCAATACTTTGACGTGACCTAGCGGCACCTTTGGTGGTTGGCACTATCGAGGAACCGGTCACGGTCTCCTAGACTGTCAGCCAGGCCACTTCAGTTGTGTGCGTTACTGCTTGCAACAGAAGCAACAGTTGAGCCCATTTATCAACCAGGCTTGCTCGAAAGCCACGACAGACCGCTCTGGCAAGTTGGGAGTAAGCTTTTGGGACTCATTTTGATCAGAGTGGAGTGTGGGTATGGAGAGTGAAGCGAAGCGAAGGGTTCATTAGGCGCGTGAAGTCATCGTGTAAATCATCCCTGTTTAGTAAAACACGGTGATGGCTGTCTCGATGTGGTTCAACTATGCAACCTAGAGATAGTAAACCAATCCCAAGGATAGTGCTAATTGTATTCCTGGCTCAATTAGCAAACCACCCATTTAATCGCCTACTTTCTGTACATTTTTAAAAAGGCAAAAGGCAGTTTTATTTACTGGGGTATCCAGCGCTTTTTTTCTAAGATGGTTGAGCATTTAAGGTAATCGAAATCGCCATAGTGGAACTATTGTAACTGCTACCATTTGGAAGCTAAATGGCCTTGTGCAAGTGTAAAGTGAATTTTGAAGTTAGTGCTACTAGCTGACAACCACTTACCACCTATTTACCTTGTAAGGAAGGCCATTATGAACGCAGTACATTAAAAACACCGCCTCACGTGAAATGAAAAGGTGGCCCAGGGGCGATCAGCCTTCTGTCATATGGCAACTCCACGCGAGTCTTCCTTCCTATATCCACTCTTGGTAGGCCAATGATAGCAATATTTTAGTAGATCAAAAATTTTAAGGATGGAAGAACACTAGATAAATCATGCAAAAGACAAATTTCCATCAGCTTAAATGAACGACGTTTGCAGCCTTCGTGGGGCTTCTAATTACACTCGTATGGTTCTAATGAATGCGTCATATTTATCCCTCCCATAATCGTATTAGGTAAAGATAGACAAACCGTCTGCCACTTCTGATATGTTGGAAACATTACTATTGCCGATGGTTGCACTTTGAAGAATTTGGCTGTTAATGCGGTGCCTAATTTCCTATTAATTTTTGCGTTACCTTTAATGTGCCCCGCACAAAGTTAATTGTGATCCGGGCGGTGCGGTTAATCGTTTTAGAAATTAAGTAAGCAGTGGAAAGAGGCGGTTGGTGGGTCTCTTTGAAATTGACTGCTGCAACCGCCCTTGATTTGTCAATTGGACGCAAATGACTCCCGCCACCAGGACAGAGGCGCTTGAACAGGCACTCAACTTCAAACGTTGTTTATCGTCCGACGATGTGCGCGTGTGTGAGGTGGTGCCATTAATAATCTCTGTTTATCAAAGGAAGGGAAGTCATTAACGTCACACTTCAGTCCAGCAGATATCGTTTCAGATTATGCGCTGACATCTTTTACACATTTTAAAGTCGATTTATTGAAACCTGTGCATGAGTCGAGCAATGTGTAGCAGCGGGAACGCATTGTATCGACGAGGAAAGTAGCTGATCCACTTTCCCAGTCAGCCTACTTGTGCGGTGTATTATCTTCAATATACCTTACTTACTTTAAATTTAAGATCCTTGAAAGTAAACATTTCACATTGTACCAACTGCATTTTTGGTTCGCGAGGTTTTGAAACTGCACAAACTTCTTGATTTAATCTCACAAGCTTTTCTTTTCAATGATGATGCTCGGTCTTACAACATTTCATTCGCCAGGTTAAGGGAAACCTTTGATGAATTAGGGCGTTTTCACAACTTTGTTATATTTTTTGAGCTAAAATGTGTCCTGGACGTGAAAACATGCGATATTAGCAAAGACGGATCTACAAATATTGTGGGACCGTAAACTGGAACGGATCAAGGGGAGTGAGTCGTAAATTAGGACTACTATGAGAGAAATGAAGTTGCAAAAACTTGGGCTGATAAGGAAATCGCATGTTATTGTTAAAGTATTCAAATTGAAATAATGTCATTACAAGTTACTTCATACCTTGTTCTCGAGAGCATAAACAGAGCAATCGAACTATTACCTTCCAGTCAAACAGGTAACTGATTTCAGTCAGAACCTCTTTTCTATCTTCTGTTAAAAGTTACCAAAGTTGTAGTACGCTCTTTTCCTCCCGACCTGGTGCCTTAATTGACGAGGAAAAGTGGGTCTTTAGGCCAATCAGGAGAACTGATAGAAGGCATGGGAAACAAAGCACATCATCACAATGCACAAGTCCAAATTTATCCCATGGATTAAGGAAAATGTATGAGCGAAATATGTTGTGACAAAATACATCTTTTTACTTTGCGCCAACTTCTGAAGGCTGCCGACCCACTAATCCCCACGCAGAAAGTAATGCCCCGAAAATGCCAGTCCACTCACAATACAGTCTTGGCGGAACAAACCTTTGTTTTAAACTAAGCGAAAATTGTGGGATTCTTTGCTTCAACTCCAAGCCATCGCATGGCACAAAATGCCTTGTGTTAACTCATACAGAAGCTAGTAAATGTAACAACGATCATTGGTCTTATCTTAGAATTGGGTCCCACTATTAGCATTAAGCATTGGCGGGAAATCACTTCAGTGGATCCGTCATAAAAGTTATATTCCAAACTTTAGTGAAAAATGTGTAAAATCTAACAACAGGTGTGCTTCCAATTCCGACTTACTTTGTAATGTTTCCAAATGCCTTTTGCGGTGAAGATTCAAAATCAAAATTTACACTTATTTCATAAATGAAACTTTGGATGCAGATGTTGCTTCCGGAGATAAAATATGGATACAAGCAAATGGGTATGTGGTATATCGTCTGGGGGGATTTGGGAAAATCCTGAACCTAAACAAAGAAATATATCATATAATGTAACCTTTCTCTCATGAAATCTTACAACTGTGTCCTTCATTTTGCAGACAAGAAAATTCCCTCCACTTCAGTCTTGACTTAAAGTTTGTCTCATCAAGCATCCAATGTGATTACGTATCTCATTTAGAAGAACCTCAGCATTTTTAAAGGCCCCTATGAGTGATTATTTAACTGACAAATGAACACATGAACTTTCCACTAAGGCGCGGGATGGCCACCCTTCTTGGTTGCACTAATTCCAATTCAAATGCAGACAATTTGCACGTATGTATGTGTGTGTGTTATTGTCTCGGCTGGCATTCAAGCTAAGCTGCTTGAAGACAAATTATTGGTGGAGAAAAATGTTATGACGTTGGTCTCCATTTGCAATCCGTTGGTGGGACATAAATTAAACCCGTCAGTGGTGGAACAGTATTAGTGTTGGTGTTTCGTTTCAAGCTTCACCCATTTCTGCTCTACACAGAACAACTAGTCCATTTAACTTTGGCAGTTGGAGCGTCACTGTCGAACGCTGAATGCCTGCATCTGAAGTCAGCACAACGAGGGATTCGCGAATGGATTTGTGCTAAATCGTTTTTCTGCATTCGCAACACTCTTACAGAAGAGCTACAACGATGTTAAATGGGTTTTAATCAAGCAAAAAAATTACGAAGAAAGATTAAACGCCTACATTTGTGGCGGTGTTTGCAACTTAAATAATTTTGTCGTCAAAATGCAAGCATGCAGTAATGATAGCTGGACGCATTGAAAAAGGAGTAGCAAGTGTTTTAAAAACTTTGCTATGAAGGCGTTCAAGAAAGTGTCACTTGTATTGCTTGTATGAACGGTAAGAATGCAATGTTTTCTGCCAAAAAACCGAAATTTCTAGCAGACACTAACATCGAACATCTAAAAAAATAGAAACGACCCACCCCGTGAATTATTATGGTTTCCGTGGAACTTTTCCTCACATCTTAATTTCATAATCACTGCCGGCCTCATTCAAGCCCACAACACACACGCCTCTCGTCAGCCAACACTGCGACTGGGACTCCCAATTTTCCTCCCGGCAACCATTTTCACTGCCGCGTCCAGAATAAGCTCTTCAGGCACCCACGAACACACTTTTAAACGCTACTTTTCCGCCGTCGATGGGGAAGGACAGATGTTTAAAATGCAGTGTCAGTGGGAACTCCAAGAGCAATCTGAAATTTTGGGCGTGTTAACTCTTTTTACGTGAATAACGCGAAGTGTAAAACTGCTCTCCATTCGTGTTTTGAGTGAACAGCGTGTGTGCCACACATTGCGCAATGGAATTGTTACTCAGTAAAAAAGTCTCAATATTTGCAAAGTAAAAGTTAGATGCCTCTCAAAAGTGAATTATTTGTTGCCATTTCATTGTAAAAGTGGATTTTTCAAAGCCCCTTAAGCCATTTAAATGAAGCATTTCACTGCCATCTTTAAGTAGAAGCAGTAATAAACCGAAGGATTAAAGTGTTAATAAGTACCGCTTTTTTATTTTCGTTCAAATAATTTTAAAGTCGTCTACAAAAATCCACATTTCAGGGTAGCACTATTGCTGATTTTAATAAAATCTCAATTTTTAAGCACACTAGTATACAGCATTCTGGGGAAAATGCTAGTTATACAAATGGAAATTTCCACATGAGTAAGTGATGTCTGGGAGGCGTGCTCGTTCCTTGGAATCGACCAGAAGTATGGGAAGAGAACATTGCAAAGTCTTAAGGCTAACTGCTGCTACACATGCAGGTGGGCTAGAGAATTCCGAATAAAACAACACTGAGCGCATTTAGCTTTCAAAACATATTAAACTAGCGTTAAACATTCTTTTATAGAAATTTATTTCGCCTCCCCTCCAGTGATTCATTGGAGAACCCTTAGAATAACCTCTAACGAAGTTTCTCGTGACGACCATAAAACAGGCTGCGTTGGCCTTATTTACCAGGTGAAAGTAATTCAACCTTAGTGGCAGGATGATTAACGTCACTCAGGTCCCCTTCTAACCCTCTCTCCATTTTTAATCTCCTCGTCTACATCTTCACCTCACCAATCCCCTATACCAGTCCCATGTAATGTAAGTAGCTCAATGTTGATATGGCCAAGGTATTAATAGACTCTGCGGCGAATGCGTCGATGAGATGGGTGAACCGGTGGAATATACAGCCCCCTCAAAATCACTTCATCTCTCTAATCTTTTGCCTGTCATCAGCATAAAAGAAGCAGCAACAAAGGACTATAAGCATTCCTGAACCTTCCAACACAGGAATTTTGACTACTTGAATAGGGAAAATAAGGCCGATACCAATCTAGAGTATGTCTAACCCGGCCATACAGGAGAATAAGGCTTATACAGTGCTCTATCAGACGGGCTCCTCAATTCGACACTTTGAATGCTGTTTTACGAATTCTCTTTAACAACTGTCGGATCATTTCTACGCTAAGGTAAAACACTGCTAGTACTGAGACGTTCTAACTGCTCTATAATCAAGAGGTGTCAAATAGGCAAACGTGATGCAATTACACACTGTTTTTTTCTTTGCGGATCATATGCAACAGTCATTTCAACATGTACATGTGTTATTTCCAGTTAACTAAACTATGTTTTCTTAGGGTCAGCCTCTATCTCGACAAATTTGATTAGTCAAAAGCATGAAGGTTTACGGAAGGGATTGAATAGACTTCCGTTTGACTTTATTAACCACCGCCACCTGTTTGAACAAATTGGACATCTACAGTGTTTTAAAGCATCTAGACTACCATTTTTTCCTAATTTCGCGTTTATACTCTAGATCCACTTTTCGATTAACTCAAAATGCTGCTCTAAAGCTGAAGACAATCCACCCAATTCCGATTCTCTCCATCGTCATGCACGAAGTTTGGGAGCCTTTAAGCGTCTTTAAAAATGTAGCCAAAATTACCAGCTAATTTAGTTTCAAAGGGCTTATTCGGCAAGCCATGTCGGACTGGCCACTAACGCCGTGACTAACGCTATGGCATGTGCTAAAGATCTTCAATTACAGAGGCACATCAAAGTCCACTGGTGGCGATGTTGAGTGTCAAAGTGATTTGTCAAACCCAAGCTAGTTTGGTCATGCAATTTAGGCGATATGTGGATATAAAATACCTTGAAACGTTGCACCTTAATGTTATCTCAATCAAAACTACCTTTTTTACGATAGCATATCAGCTCTATGGCTAAATGTTTTGATTATTCACTTATTCTTACGCTTTTTTGTTTTGTTTTAAGCTGAGAGAAAGGAATGTACTTTCTCCCCACACAGTTACCTTTAATAGACCCAAATTCCACGGCATGACCTTGCTTTAGGTCACTCAGTAGCCATGTTTGAACACACTGTTTAAGATTTCCTACACAGCAAATCTATGAGCATTTAATCTGAAGTAATTTGACTGAGGCGAAGTTACTGAGGCGTCAATAAGTAGTTAGCAAAATAGTGAGCCCATATGAATTCGGTTTGATTTTATTCAAAAATTTGTCAGTCGGGTAAAATTCTAGCTCAATTAGTTGAAAAGCGTGAATTCATGTGTAAATTTGCCTCACTTGGTCATGCACGAGAAGAGAAGTGGTTAAAACACTCCATTTTTCATGCATACACTCGATTATACGATTAAGATGAAAAAACATAGATCTGATTGCCATGTGCTAAAATTTAACCTGCTTCAGTCAGTTTGACATTGCCGACCCTGGAGTAGATTTTAGAGGTGGGAAATCGGATTCAAATCCACTTTTTTGATGTCACCTTATCGATGAAAAAGATGCAAAATAAACGGAAGCGGTTAATCTACCAACCTTGAATAAATTACCCTAAATGTTCAAATCAAATATTGTCCCAGAGACTGCAAGGGAAAATATAAATTAGTACTTCAAAATTTTTTATTTGTAAAAAAGTTGCAAATCACAAATATTTGAAGTAATTGCTATTAAAATTGAGTATTTTACAATCACAAGATTATTTTGGGAGAATTTGAGAGGACCGCTGCGATGGTAGTCTTAGCTAAGGACTTCCACAATTCTCGATTTCCCTACTGTACTTGACGTTGCCAGATGAATTTGTGCATATCGTACGCAGATCATGCGTTTACACCAAATCCCTGCCTCCAACACTGCCAAGGCGAACATGGGAAATTCTAGGCAGTGACGGTTTTCCCGAACCCAATTCCGGGCATAGCAGTATGCGGCTCAGACAGATCTATTTTTAAAGACTGACTCTGATGTTATAACCTGACATCTCTACATTCTCTTGACTTGTACGACACCAGATCTGTCATGTATTGGCTCAAACGAACAACACTGTGATGCGTTTGGCTTGGGTTGACAGTGTGCATATCCTGGTCCCGCCTTTTTTGACGTGGGAAAATTTGAACAGTTACACAACTTTGTCATTTCACTAAGCATACCAAGAAAGATTGCATAATTATTTCAAGCCATATTTCGCCCGCAGCTTTCTCTGGTTTCGAGGATCAAAAAATGCCTCAGCTCCTTAATTTTAAAGCCTAATTTTTTCATTTTTACACCATTTCGGGAAACATCACTTTTAAGTTAAACTCCGCACTTTAGTTTCTCAATTATTATTTAAAAATTTCCCTCATCTTAGTGTTATTAGATAAATAATAAGAAAATAACTTAAACTATTCGGATACCACTCTTAAAATGGAAGGCAGATTGAGCACGCATTTTTTAATGCAAGTGAAAATACTTAATAGGGATGAAGTTATTTGGACAAAGGGCAAAAAATACGGCTTGATAATCAAACCCTCTTCAAAAGCTTGTGTTGAGTGCGTAAGACATGAAAATGATGCAATCTTCTCATTTGCCTTATTCGCGGTCAACACGAAAATTCTGGGGATTGAATTTTTGACTTCAACCATGCATTCGGAAATTGACAGGTTCAGAGGACTTCAGCTCTGTTTCAACATTGCACGGAACCCTCTACTGGTAATGCGTATTTCAGAGCGCAGCGTTTGAAAGGCAAACATCGGAAGACGTGGAACAGACTGTTCAACCTGGACAATTGTCCAACGTAGGCAAAGAATCGAAAACCGTACAATTAGGCGCAATCAAGAGGAGCAATAAATTAATTAGAGGAATCTGATTAGAAGGATACCAAAGGCCAAAAGGTCACAATAGGAAATTCCTTTAACCCCACATCTTCGAAGAAAAGCGTGGCAGTTGGAGAGAGTACTAGACCTCCTTCATACGAATGAGGTGCAAAGTAGTGCGCATAATAAAGGGATGAGACAATGCGGGTTTAAACCCCCGCAAAGTAATTTTAGATTTGCATTAACTGCCGGTTGTATGGTCCGGGCTAATTTCGGGACATAGGCTTTTGACAGCTACGAGGGAGGCGCTTCACTTTATTAAGAACTAGTAAGTGGCAGTGGGTTGTAGAGCCTTTTGACATCAGTGACATTATTAGGTTGAGGTTAGAATGACTTTTCCCTTGAATATTCACAGCATCTTCTGGGTCGATGACGAAATGTGGTTCCTCTACGCACTCTCATTGTGTCGATTTTGCAAGACACATTCGACGAGGTATTCCATTTTATGTCAAATTAAATTTATTTCCTTTCATCAATCCAAAGCAAACCATTTTGGTTTGCAATATGATCTATAAACATAATTTGGTTGTAACTGACCTCACTCAATCAAGATATTTTAAATGCATGGCAAAATATCGTTCTAAAATACTTTCGATACAGCATTTCAGAAGACAAAAATTGGTACATAATGGCAATTATTGGCGGAATCTAACATATAACCTGTAAATGAGGTGTTTTAAGTTTTTACTTAATCATGTTATGAAAGATTTAGTGAGTTAATGACTGGTTAGTTGTTTTGAAATGCAAGAAAACAAGTAGTTGAAGCAAAAGTCCCATAAATTGTAAACCATGTCTCACAAGTGCTGAATCAGGCAGTCCAGATGTTCTATGCCTTGGCTTAAAATAGCCCATTTGCAGCATAGAGGTGGCACTACCTTTGATATCGTTTAGTGGGAAAAATCACACCTCTGACCCAGAGCCCACAAAATCCGATAAGCACCTGTCGGGGAGGGATGTGAATGCGCAGCCGCGTGTGGGCTAAAGTGCGTGCGCGCCCCTGCATTTGGGTCACCTCCAGCACCGCCACACTCAAAGCAGGCGATTTCGTGCACGGTGCAGCCACCGTGTATCATCAGCTCTTGACCAGTCCCGTCCATCCCGTGGCTCGACTGAGTGCCGATTTTCAAGCTAACTCAAAATGTTTTGCTCAAGGAAAGTGCCCTTATTTGCTTAATATGCCATCGGTTGTTGATCAACGTCCTGGTAAAATAAATAAAGCCAAACTGAATAATTGGGCTTTGTTATAGCGAAAATGAGGGAAGGATTAAAAACCTCTCTCTAGAATTTTGTTAATAGGTCATAAACTTTATAGTGTCAAACCATTAAGCCCTAATTAAAGGCTGTTTTATAAAGGCATTGAACTTAAACCTGTTATTATTTTTAGTGTCGTTATAATTTAACCTGGATATATCAGTCATAATGAACAAAGGAACATCATGGATAGCCCTATTGTTAGCAAACAGTGCATTTTGTTAGCATTCAACAAGCCAGCCCAGAAGGGCGTTTGGAAACTAAAAATTTCATTTTTGATGCTCTGCATGCCTAGCATTCGGGTTTCAGAAGAATTTATGTTTTAGCTATAGACAGCACACATTTGGAATCGCATGTCTTTGGGATGAAGTTGAGGCATTGAGTCTCTGGCTTTTAGCCGTCCCTTCGAGGCGTGAGTCATGCGCGTCGTCATTGGTGTGTTCGCCCCGTAGCGTTGGGGCTTCACTGCTATGGCATCAACAGTAACAGCATGACTAGAAATAAATAAAGGCTAGACACCAGAAGTGCCTCCTCTGGCTCCTGATGTGGTGGCTGCAGCGTTATAGATGGCATTTATTGTATCCTCTTTTGAACTCAATACTTGATGATCCAATTGTATTGAAATTGCCAACAAAGCAAGTGGTGACCATGCAAGATGATTTTATTATAAAGTGGTGATCACTGCGTAAGTTTCGTTGAATATTTTTCAGTTTTACGTGAGCAAATCATTCTATTGATGGAAATATTAATAAGAAATTTAGGCGTACTTCTGTACTGGCCATTCACTCTTTGCGCACTCCTAAAAATTGTATAACCTATTCACCCGTGCTTCGACCTAAATTTTTTGCCTCTTTCTGGAATATGGGCTAATTTCGGCGAGAAAGATGTCACCTAGAAATCATATTATTCAAAGATTTGTCCACGTAATCCATCGCATTTGGAGATCCTTTTATCATACCAGCCTACGTGGAGCATCGTGATTTTTGGCGGTAGATTTTTCGTAAAAGAGAATATTTTATCAAGTATGTAGCTCCAATGTACAGCTCAGACACTTAGAATGGATCCCCAGAAAATAGATCGCAACATCCAACACTATACAGATTTGAAACAACTGGCAAAATAATACAGTGACCACTAAAAATAAGGTGATGGCCAGTTCGATAGAACGGTGCAGCTAATCTTGCCTGTGCGGTCATTGCGAAGGGCAAGGGGTCCATCCATTACCTCACCCTGTCATGCCTGAGGATGCGTGTGCGCCTCCTCCAGAGGGTGTATGCGCGCGTGGGTGGCGTTAGTACCCGTAAAGAGGCAGTCTGCAGAATTACCACTGACTCAAGGACGTACGGAAATGGGGAAGAGGCAGATGTAAGAAAATGAAGCACAAAACTTTATAGCAACTGTACATAATTGATTTAAAAGTGTGCAAAGCATCCACGCACTTGTAGCAACAGGCAACACTTTACCCCAGTTGATATGGATAGAGGAGTCCCTCCCGGTTTATCCTTATTAGGGAGCCACCTGAATGATGTGGAACTCAACCGGCCAACAAAAAATTAGTCTACCGTTCACAAAAAAACTTGAGCCCATTGCCTGCACTGATGAATACCTGAGCGTGAGCTAAGTTATGCTTTATTAGCCAATTGTGTAATTATAGAACGGTGCTAAATCGTCGACGCCTTTTGGTGAAAACCAGATATGTAGATTAGATGTTCGGTATTTGAGGATTGATGAAAGAATTCACTTCAGAATTGTAATCTCAATATATGAGAGAATGATATGCCATTTCTGGCTTGAAACAAATGTCTATCATGTTGAACCAACGCAAATTTCTTCGGAAGGTACATGCTTGTAAGTGCCAGATGCATCGAAATGTCAAATGTCAGATATCTCAACTATTCATTTCCTTCTTGAATCAAGAAGTGGTGATTAATTTAATTGACCATGTTTACGAGGTATTTGACTGATTTAATGAAGCTAATGTAAAAGATATTTTTTTTGTATTGATAATATCAGGCAATCAGCAGTGGTGGGTAAAAATTATTCAGTGAACCTGAGTCCACTTTGAAAATTTTTGGAAATGTATTTGATGAACTTTCGTTAGGCATTTGCGAAAACAGTGTATCATTTTTGCATAGCTCACGAATTTGTGTCTTCTAGGGAGACGCTATTTGCCTTGCTTAAAATATAGTGACAGTAATCACGTGAATCTTCAAGAGTTAACAGATGAGATTGTCGTACCTGGATTCAATCGCTTCACAAAGTTTCGTTGAATGGCTGATGTGGGGTATAGTATTCATTTCTTGCCCTAACGGAAAATAACCTGAGAAGAACGGAAGACCTTAAAAACCGAAATTATAGTCTACTATTAACGATGATTATGATCATTTACTTCGAGGACTCGCCATCAGCTTCTTCCATCAGCTGCTTCACATGGTGTGATCCAAGTCAGCGACAGTATGCCAAGTCTTCTTATGCCTTCGAACCGAATTTTTGCCTAATTACGGCGATTAGGTTTTATCGTGGCTCGGCTGAGGCACACCACCCCTTCCACACAGTCCCGCGCCCTGGCCCTTGCCCAGTCCACTCTCCACCGCCGCCCGCTGCAGCTATTGCCAGCGGGGCCGATTAATAGGGGGTGTGAGGGAAGGAAGAGGCAAGAGAAGGGTGGGTGATGGAGGTGCTGTGATTAGGTGCTCCTTGGACTTGGGTCCACTTAGCGGTGACTTTAAAAGGGCGATCCACCATCAACTGCGCTAATTAGGTGACCAAAAGGTGGAATTAATACGTGCACAATTTCCCCTTATATCCGTACAGGCATACACGCACATTGAAACATGTACTTGGATGCGGTTGAAGATGCCAAAATCTAAAACTGTTTGTCCAAAAATGGTTTGAGAAGAATAATTCACTTGGCTATTTTTATATCGAAAAACTACTGCAATGAGTCGCCTTTTAGTAATGTATTAGGCCGTACTAAAATTAAGAGGTATTCAGTCTTATTTTAACGTAAGAAGGTTGAAATACAACGAAGTGGCCACCGAGCAGCTGAATAATACACACGTCTATATCGCTGTGGCAGTTAGACTTACCCACATTAGTGATGATCTACGATTAGTCGAGTGGCAGTGAACTTTTCCTGTTGCATACAAATTCTTAAAAAACCGCAGACCAGTAGTGCATGACCAGTAACACCTTCAAATGGAGGCGAAACTGTTTAAACAATAGGAAACTTTGGTCCACCTGTAAAAAGTGACCAAAATTTTGTCATTTACTATCTGATAAAAGTCAGTGGTCCTGCTTTGTGTACTAGGGTTGCACTGAATCGCCTAATCGAAGGGTCGAACCTGGACCATCCCGATTATTACCTTCGATGGCCACAGTGGCAACTGTCGGCCACTTCGACTTTTGAAACTTGCCAAAAATGATTTACTGAGTCTTGAAACATGGGGTTGGGAAATCGTATTGGATTAGCCTCTAAGGTCCAAGATGCTCAACAAAACCCCCAAATCGGAGTGCATTCAGGAACTCATTTTGTGAATTCCATAAAAAGACAATGGCTTTAACTGCAAAGCGATTGTTTTATTAGTATTCTTAAAATATGTTTGAAACAAGATGTTCTTCCAAAGAAACAATCGACTGTTTAAGCTGTAAAGGTCTTGGATTCATAATACTGTGTGAAGGTTGTTCAGGATAGAACGCCAGAATAAAATAAACAGCACCACAGCAAAAGTTAGAGAGAATCAAATTCCTGCACTCAAATTTAAATTATCGTGTCGAATTTTGGGAAATCAAGTTGGTATTTTGAGTTATCAATAGCCGATGTACAATGAGATAAGCAACCATTGACTTTTAAAAGAATTGGGCAAAGTAAAAGCATGTGTCCGCTATACAAAAAATTGTAGGGCTTTTTGGGAGTGACGGTATAGACTAATAACTGATTATATTTCCATTACTTAGGAATAATTCGGATTAAATAAAAAGTAGACCTGATATCCATATGGTGAATGCTATTTTATTATTAGTCGCACAATCAAGACCAACCACCGTGCTTTAAAGTAGCTTACACTATAGTATATTTAAATGAGTTGAAGCAACGCATTTTAGAATGGCTGCTACTTAGATAAAATGATATAGTATACAGGCCTTCCCTTTGCTAGTTTTCATAGGTGCATAAAATGCCGCACTTGTAGTTATACAAAGAGTTGACTTGTCCTCAGCGCGCAGCTGTTTGCAACAGTTACAGTTGTTTTTCACTAAAAACTGATTTAAAAAATTCCAAGAGCTTCCTTACACCGAACATCAAAATTGTACGTACGCACACGCACCCCTCATACGGTTTCGCATATGTCATCGGACTTTCGACAGCTACCGTGACGGCTTGTCAAACAGACCTGTTCCGATAGTTTCCCGCCCAGTAGTTTGCGGGAATAAACCACACGCCACCTATCTTACCAACCCTCCCCACCCCACACAACATCCATATTACCCAGACGACTAGCAGTATGGATGCTAATCTCGAAGATGAGACTCCGAGATGATGCGTAGATCCCCACTGAGATAAGTTCCACTAGCTGGTTCATTCTCTTTACCTGGAGATCGTTAAGCTCCCTAAATGGCACATCATTTTTTTTCGGTTTAAATACACAACGGCAGGGATTATCTGATTCCCACACCTCTTGAGAGAGCAAGCGCAGGCAAGCTTTTATAAACTAGGGCTTGGGAAAGCCAACTCCTTAGTCAAAATAATGCCTATGAAAAACCTTGACAAGATGATTATACCTAATAAATCAAACGTTTCAGCTACAACAATTCGTGAAGTCTTACTGTTGGCAAACATTCACTTTGG